TAATGCAACATATCAGCGCTGAAATGTTCGCTTACTTTTTCGAATTTGTAATGCAACATATCAGCGCTGACATGTTAGCTTACCTTTTCGAATTTATAATGCAACATATCAGCGCTGACATGTTCGCTTACCTTTTAAATTTTACCTATGCTATTGATTTTTAAATAAAATACTATAAATTTTTTTGGATAAATTATATTTTATATTTATGATTTATACAATTAAAATATTAATATTTACATAAAAAAATATAACATACTTATATATATGAATATTTTTCTGGAAATTGTTACTAAAACCTTGAAGAGATTTCCAGACTCGACTCGATCACTTGTTCCGGCTTACCATCTGTACTTAAAGCATCTGTAAATACAAAAGTATGTTATTGTATACGCTAAAGTTAATTATGTACAATATACTATACCAAAAAGTGCTGCTGTCACATTCTCTAACGCTCTTAAGGACTTCTTGCCTTGGGTACCATTCTCCAAAATTCCAGGAAATTTTTCGCGTAATTGGTTGTTTTTTAATAACGCGTCTCATTGATGCAGTCTATAAATAACGTAATAGATGAAAAGAAATGTATGAATTAGTAAAATTGTTACATGTGAATATATTAATAAGTTGAAATTGAAAGTAAGAAACATATATAATTTAACTTACAACTACTTCAACAGCAGTGATTTCTTCATTAAATTGAATTAAATCCTCCTCAGTTTGAATTGTAAAATTTTCCAATTGAAACAGCTGATTACATGACTACAGCTGATTACCCCTTGCTTTAGAATGACTGCATTCGCAGCACATTGGTCAATTAATCGTTCTTGACGCAGTAGCATCTACATAATACAAAACAAAAATTACAATTATCATTTTAAATATATTTACTTAATTTTCCATATACTTACAGTGAGTTTATGTGAAATTACAAATTATATTTTATTTAAATTTTTGTTTTTTATTTGATTTTAAAAATTAAAAATTGTTCACTGTTCGCACTTCACTAAAATCAAAAGCAGACTAAATGTATACAATGTAGGCAAAACAAGAAATTCTTAACTCATATGCTTTTCTTCTTCATTCTTTTATAATTTCAACCCCGAAATTGCCTATGTCAAACACAAATGTCGAAAACAAAGAAAAATAAAAACGAAGAGCTATTACCTCCTCGCTTACTTTTTCAGCGCTGGCATAATGGTGCCGCTGGGTTGGTTTGTCTGTTTGTGTATGTGTCTCTTATTTGTTTGTATATTAGTCGATTTGCAGCGCGCCCTTGGCAGCAAACTGCTGAAGTTGTTTGACTTTATTAATTTTATTGTAAATTGTTTGCATGTTTATTCGTTTGTACTTTATTCATTTAGTTGTTGTTACACAAAAAACAACAATTTCTACTATACTTTAGTGTTATAATACCGGGTGCTTACTACCAGTCACTGTCCGTTAAAATAACAAATTGCTCTCCAGTTCAATCAGAAATATATTTTCACATATATCAGGTGTAGGCATTTTTTCCGGTTCTTTTTGATAGAGAGAACACGTAACTTTTAAGAGAAATTAATTTTATTTTATTTTAAATATGGACTATCGGTTTCTACATACGTCGCCCATCTTTCATGTAATTTATGAATATCATGCCAGAACTGCATGTCTTTCGCGGCAAACCATTCACCGAATCGTTTTCAACTCTGCTAAGCGAGCGAGCGACCCATTGATGCCAAGAGTTATTAGTCAGATGGAGTCAGGTGTGTGGAGAACAGCAGGTGTGTAAGGATGTCCCATCCAAGCGATTTCAAGGTATATTTGAGTAATTTGGTGTTGCAGATGGCGTATTATCGTGTAACAAAACCACTTTGCCATGTTTTTACGTCCTTTCCGCTCAAGTCCGGTTTTGCCGGACTTGAATAGTTCATAATACACAATATCGCTCTGGTCCCATCAGACCCAAAGCAAAGTCATCTTAACATCTCTTTCTGATATTGGTGTGATGCTTAAAAGTACTACTATTATCACCCATTATTCAACTTTTTAATCATTTTCTAGATCATAACTCCATTTTTATACTTCAATTACTTTAGTTAAAAATCACTAACTCCTGCTGTTATGCCAGTAAGGTTTATAAAAGTGTGTGCATGTATATATGTATGTACACATATGTGTATTTTTTTTTTTGCTATTATTTTTTTATATATACACAAATTCACTTATTATTTAGATACTTTTACTAATATTAGCTGCTACTAACTTTTCCACTTGCTAAATAGTTTGACCCACCGCACAGCAGTCCTTAAAATAGCAACTTGCGTTTGTTAACCTATTCCACTGATACCCATACATAATATAAAAAAACTTTCTTCATGAATAATGCATTGCAATTAAGTGGTGCAACAGAAATTATTTTTTTCTTGGAAATTTTTTCAAAATAGTTTTGGTTTGTGGGTGTTGAGTTCTTTCACACAAAAACATGTTAGAATTTTTAAATTTGTGCTTGCTTTTATTCTATATATAGTTTTTTTCATATTTTGAATTTTTTTTCAAATAGTATTACATTACAAATATCAAAGTTTAATATAAAAGTTGCCAGTTGGGATCCAACAATTTAAACTTTAATTTTAGCGAAATTTTATAGTACAATGAAAATTTTATTGCATTCGTAAATGTAAGAATAGTTTGGCTGTTTTTTAATAGAACACTTGAAAATAATAGTAGAGAATATACATAATCTAATTTTAAAAAATAAATAAAATATTTATACACTTCACATATTCTAGGTCTATAAAAACAAGCACAATAAGATTTAGAAGCACCTTAGTTTCCACTGTTTCCAATGTTAAGACTAGTAAAACAATCTAAAAAAAATAATGTTAAAACTATTATTATATATTAAAATTTATTTTATTGACAGTTCAAAAGTAATTGGCACCTGAAAGATAAAAAGATATAAACATATTACTGCAAAAAACTTAGGGAGCTCTGTTTATTTGTAAGGCCAGAACAACGAGCGGTTCGTTTAGAAGATATGAGGTCGGCTAACACAACACATTCAGAATGAAATAAAACAACACCGCATAATTCGTTTAGATTAATCAAAATAAAGAAATTTTTGTTAAATATGTATTAGTAACTTAATTGAGGTTTATTATTCAATTTGACTTCTTTGAACTTCTTCTTTTGGATTATATGTAATACATACTAATTATTTTACGACTTGAGAGTTCCAATGGTTAAAGTCGAGTTCAAGCAAATTAGGCAGAAACATATTTGAAATCTTGAAAACTATGTGAATCCGCTAGCTAGACCTCTCGTTAATATGACAACTTCCCCTAGACTGAAACGGAATGATACACCCGCCATTCTGCTTTCCTAAAGATCATCCTAATTAATTTAACTTATACGCCATGATATCAGGAAAATAATAAATAACCCCTGGCTACTTATTCAGAGGTCCCTTGAAATAATTTATAAATCATTATATATTTCATTATAGTATGTTTATATAAAATAATTTGTAATGTAATGTTATTAGTCTTTCAGATTCTAAAACTTATTGTAAGGCTTTAATTTAATGCGATTCAATAAAGACATATTGTCAAATAAAAAAAAAACTAATTGTTTATATATTTAACATATATATATTGTCTGATTCGATATATCTTTCGATCAGAAGAGTATCATAAGGGTATTAAAATTACTAACTAATTCTATTATAATTTACTAATAGTATTGCTTGCTTCAACGGACGAGTTGAGTAATATAAATTATTATGACGTCAAACATTTTTCAAGAAATATTTAAATATTTTATTATATACACATTTTGCATATAAATCCTTTGTGAAGTGTGCAATCAAATAACTTATTTCATATTTATGATTATAAATATTGTATAAAGTGAAATTTTAATTTTAATTTTATTTTTTAACCAAATAATTTTATGAAAACCTCTTTCACATTAAAAACATAAAAACTTGTCGACAACAGCAATTCATGCCACTCCCACTTGCGTATTTCATAATTCTGGTAACTACATTAATCATTTGAATAAACTTGCCACAAGTTAACACTCACAGCCACAGTTGAAGTCGGAGTCGGAGTCAGAGATAGAGGCAGAGTCAGAGACAGAGTCACGCATTTATGTGGCACGTACTGGAATTCTAAATTAAAAATATTTATAATTTTGTAATGCGTTTGTGAATTTGGGACCCATTCGTATGTAGGTGTGTGCGTGTGTGTGTGTGTGTCTGTGAGTATGTGTAATGCTCTTTGCAACACTTGAGTGCTACCACATATTTAAACTTTGAAGTTAACAAATGATATTAACTAATTGCAACATGTTGAATAAATTATAAAATTACTCACCTTTCCCACGATAAGCGACGCGGAGCTTCCTCGCCAGTTGATGGCGCCACCGCTAAGCTCATATGCATACTGTCGACATGCGTGTGAGACGACGATGCCGTGGGCTTCAGGGTTGCGCTGCTCGTTTGATGTAGTAGCTTTGCTAAGCGCGTAAAAGCTGTATTCGCTGTACTACTGCTACCTGAGCTGGAACCACTGGTAGTGCTGGTGTCATGTGTGGATTGATGCGTATCAGCAGATGTGCGTTGTTGATGCTGATGCTGATGCTGATGTGAATGTTGATCTGTTGTGCTAGTTGTAGTATGCTTTTTGCTTGCCAAACGATAAGCACGTGCTGCAACAACATGTGGAGCAGGTATTCTGAAATTCCAAAAACAATAATAAGCCATAAGTAATAATGTAGCAAATGAATTGCTAGCTACATAGACAGTTAAGTTTTGGCTTAATTCTAGGAAACGTGTCAAGACAGTTTCGACACAGACAAAGACATTTTGGTCTTTACATGCCATCTCACTTACCTGAGCATTAATGTGCCATCAGCATGACACTCGAACTCATCCGATGTGGATGTGTGCATAAATGATGCAGCATCTGTTGTCGAGTAAAGAGCATGTTGTTGTATCGCTGCGTTGTTTGCTAAACCAGCCGTGGCGTGAACGCCACTGGTGCTGCTGCTACTGCCAGTACTGCCAATGCCACCAACTGAGTGCGGTGTGCTACCAGAGGACTTTCGCCTATAGACCAATGTTGTGTCATCCTTTGGAAGATTCAGTGATTTTATTGTTACCGTATTGTTGTTGTTAATAGTACAACAATTTTGCTGGCTGTTATAGCCATAGCCGAGGTTTACATTGGATGCTGTGTGTGGTGAATGCCGAGTTAACAGTGACCAGCAACGATTTCCACCGGATTTTGCGCCAACACGTTCCTCTGCGTGCAGAAGTGTAAAAATTTGTGTGAGATTTAATTGGATTACGTGAATTTTACGTGTTCTAATATGAATTTAGATAGTCCGTAGACGAACATATCCGTACATGCATTCAGAATATGTGAGAATGAGCGGTAATGTAGCGTTTTCGGCATGCATGGAAGCGAGTTTTGGAGTGCAGTTGAGCGTAAGCCTGCACGGATGAAAATGTGCTGCATTTTTCAAAATAAAATAAATTAAATCAGAAGAAACGTGGTAAAAGTGTTTTTAATTATTCGAAAACTGAAACCTCAACTCAAACAAGTGCTGTTTTCTGCAGCTGAGCTCGCAATTATTACAGAAAATTGCATACAAATTTTTATGTTGCTGTCGTCGGTGCTCTTGAATTTGCTGTTGACATACTTGGAAATTTTTGCTCATGTTGCAAACGTAATTTTGTTGAACATTATGTTACAAATTTTATACTAAATTAAAGTAAATTGAAATAATTAAAGAGCATTTCAACATTGGTAAATTAAGTTCAATGTAACTAAATTTACAGAACCTGAGTTAAAACAGAAAAACGATGAACGTAAAGTTGAGAAAATCTGCTCAAAATTATTTTATGTAGAAAAATGAAAACTTTAGTTTGAGTTAAATTATTTACGTCTCACATTTCGTAAACATTGACAATTTAAAAGTAAGCGAGTTATACAGGAATTATTTGTAATTATAAGAAGACAAAGGATCCACATTTCTCTTTCTCACCCCTTCTGTATAAACTTAATCAGTCAGCTTTGACAAAAGGAAATTGCGGCTGCTTGGTTGGTCTCCGGGGTGAAATTTATGCATTTTTCTGCACAGTTTAATTTTCCAGGAAATATTAAAATGTTTTGTTTGGGGAATTTCTGAAAAAGTATTCAACATTTAAAATTATGAAGCAGTAAATTAAATGAAAATACGGTACAGTGCTTCTAATGATACAGAATACAAACATATTTGTTAAAACATAGTCGTAACTAATCTCTTAAACGACTGTGTTTTTCAAAAGAGATGTTAATTTCTACAATATTAATGACATCTTCTTCGAGGAAGATAATAAGCGTAAGATATTCATTGTTTTTATAGAAGTATCGAACTAATGAAGCTAGTCGAAGTAGTACAATAACAGAGATTGGTAGATGTTAGCTAATTAGATAAATAAGTTATTTAGCCTTATTGTTTCTACATTGCTTTTCATTTTTTTGATAGGATTAGATATGACTTGAGAGAAAGAATATTGCGTTTATATATTTGAATCTGGATCTGGTTAATAAGAGAGGCAAGAAGTATTGTAATGTGGGAGTGTGCCACGACAAGAAATAAATCTAGGAATTAGACATTTTTTTAAAACTATAAACTAAAAATAAATTACCATAATAGTATAAATACCTTTAACACTGGAAACTAACTTCAAATTATTGGTATATTAGTTTTACATCACTAATCTCTACGAGTATATATAATAAAAATGTTTTTTGCTCATAGATAACTTGTTGCAATCTAAGAAATTATACTTTATTTATTGTTTTAAATGCTCAAAATAACATATTATGTCAATACTGATATCTACAAAATATAATTAAAATGATTTTCTAAGTTTAAGAGATGAAAAAAATGTATGAGCCGTCAAAAATCAACACGTTAAGCACATTGTCATATTTACTGCAATTTACTATAAATCAATTAAAACCTACTTTATACTCCACAGTGGGTACTTATACGACCGATACTTCTTAAAATCTAAGAAAAATACTTCAAAGACTTCAACAGTAAATATAGTAAATACAGTAATCTATATTATTAAAAGAATAACTAATAAAATTTATTTTTATAGTTAACTTTAAGGTT